TCCACACACTCACACACGCACACACACACACACACACACACACACACACACACACACACACACACACACCCACACACACACTGTAAAACATCTGTACAGCCCACCTACATAATATACTCCAATCTGGGCAATGAATAAACCCCGAGACGTCACAGGTCATCCCCACCGACCACAACAAGGACCAAATCGTCCATTAATGGGCATTATCGTCCAGGTTGTCAAGTGACGGTTTAATGAAACTGAAAATATGGAGATAATCTTGACTGACCCCTGTTCTGATCACAGATTTTTTGGGTCTTTTTAAAAAATTGTTTGGTATACATGAGAATGAAATGACGACAACATTTTGCAAATCAAATCAATGGTAATTATGTTATGCATCAAACTTACGTTAAGCGAGATTTTAAAAAGGCTAACCGAAGGTTGGCCACATTTTGTCCGATTTTATATTTTGTTCCTCTTTTTTTGATGTGGGGATTCTTTAGTCTGTGTTTTATACGCATATATTATGTTGCCATTATATAATTCATCTTCTCCTTATCTTATTAAATCATTTCACATTTGACTAGGTAAGGTTGTGGTAACTTGCACAAACCACAAACGAAACCACTACGCTGATGTTTTCCTCAGTAACCATTTTGGCAGAATGTGACTCATCGCTTACACTTTGTTTTCTTGTTGTAATGTCGTGTGTAGAAAAGGCAATATGTTGTGTCTCGACGCAGTGGAATCAGGCGCTTGTCAATGTTTTGATCATCTTAGAGTCTGTTCACTTGCATTGCTTTTGGTGAGAAAAAAAATCTGTCTTAAAAAGAAGTCAAGATATTTGTGATGGAAGGAGGTTGAGGTCGCCTGGTTTCAGAGTTAAAATTAACGAGAAAATAGAAAACCTAAGATTGATGACTTTCATATTATCTAGGTCTTGATCAACGCTGTGTGTGGTATGAACTAATCACTAAATGAAATCTAATATCAACGATATTATCAGCGGACCAGGTGTGACTGACCACAGATGACCGTTTACTACTAGATCCGCAGGAGAGATTATGTCTTGGTAAAGCCAGAAAAAAGTAAGTGATGCTGTTAGTGTTAGGTGAAACTTGTTATTTTTTAAATAATGTATCCACCAATTGAGCAAGATAGTAATTTTTGAATTAATGTTTCCACCATTTCACTAAGATTGTTATTTTTTAAAGAATGTATCCACCAACTGACTGAATGATACGAGAAAAAGGGACAATTATATTTTATTTAGTTAAAAACAGACTGTTATACGAGTGACAAGAAAAGTGGCAACATTATTTAGATGGAAAGTTTCTCACTAAATTTCTTTAGTTACCTTTCTGGCGCCTGCTGTGTAAGGGTTTGTGTGTTGACCATTGTATATAATATTAAGTCGTTAGACATCAGAACATAGGTTGGGAGAAAAAAGACCCCCCCCCCC